CAGACACGTTATCTATCTTGTATGTCTACATAGAAACCTAACACATAGTACCTAAGACATAGCAGATGCTCCAAATGCCTAAAATAAGTTAAATAATGGCTATCTCGATATTTAGAACACAGATGTCTCTTGTTACCTTTAAGAAAACTAGAAAATTGAAGAGGTACATTGTATATGTGCTAAGTACAGTAGTTTTGTTTAATAACATAGAGAAAGGCTTTTACCTAAAATGAAAAATCACCTATATTAAACTCATTTTGGTTCAATGTCTGCTACTACTTAAATCATTTTATATAAAAATGTATACTTCACACAGAAAATAAATTGAGAAATGGAAAATAGCTAAAATAAAAAGTTTTTAAAATTTTACTTCTTTTCTAAGAAAATAGCTCTGTGAAATAGTTTCATATAAGAAAGACAAGAATATTCTATCCACATGAATATACAGATGGGTCAGAGCTACAGTCTGGTACTAAAAGATCTATTGTGGGCTCTGGAATAAAACCTCTATATGATACATCCTGATCATGCCCCTTACTATATGTAAGCTACTGGGTAAATTTCTCAACCTTGGTATAAGCATTAGTTTTCTAGGCTTATAGAAACTATAAACCTAAAAATGACCTATTTTGCAGCATTCCTAACAAGATTAAATAAAATATTTTATATAAAGCACCTAGCATAGTACCTGACATGCAGTAGGTACTTAATAAACATTTGTTCCTTTAGAGATCCCTTCCTCTTTGAAGGAATATGTGTGCAGACGTGAAAAAATAACCAGACTTTTAAATCTACAAGAAAGGTGGTAAGAATGATGCTGAAAACAAATCTAGTATCTGTCTCATAAATTAACACCTGATTAAGGGTTAGAGGAGACCCTTCATTTGCCAGGTGGGTAAACAGACTCATTAGTGTGTTATCCACAAGGTCCCTCTACCCAGCATTGGTATAGGAAAAGAATACAGATGTTTGTTCTTAGATGTCTCTTCATTCTTCTTCTTTCCCCCTCATATCATAGTAACAGACACAGTTTATCCTGTTATCCTACAGAAGCTTATTTCAGAGCTTCTGCCAACTTGGGTAGATTTGAAATGAGATATTCTAACACTTTAAGTCATAGAAGCTTCAAAATTAAATCATTGGGAGATGGATTTACAATTAAAATAGTGGAAAGATTTGAAAAATTTGCAGCCTGTCCATGTAAAGATTGAAAAGGTATGTTCAGAGAACAAACTAAGGGTGTAGTAAGTGGCCATTTTCTAAGGATATGAGTAGAAGGAAGCCAGGTAAGACATCAAGACAATGGGAGAAAGACCTTGAAGGCATCGCAGAGCTCTTTCAGGCTGTCCCTCCTATGACAGTCCCAGAGTTCTAGGCGGGTAGAGTAGTTCTGGGAGGCAGGACCAGGGTGCCCTCTGTGGTTTTACTGCTCAAAGCCACCTCAAAACTCTGCTCCCTGCATTCTGGTGCAGTACTCCTTGGCCACTCCATCTATGACTCCAGCAGGTCCAAGTGAGGCTTGTGGTGCAGCTCCAGAGGGTACAAGCAGTAAGCTTTGGCAACTTCCTTGTGGTGTTGACTCTGTAGACATGTAGACTGTATGAGCTGCGGGGCCATGGCAGCCTCCATCTAGAATTCAAAAAACGTATTGCGAAGCCTGGGGGCCCAGGCAGAAACCTACTGCAGGGTCAGAGTTGCCACAGAATCTCCATCAGAGCAATGCCAAGAAGAGCTGTGGGAGTAGGGCCACTTCTGAGACCCAGAACTGTAGAGCTACCAGCTTGCAGGAGTAGCCTGGGAGAGCTACAGGCACAAGACTCCAACCCATGAGGAGTTAGTGAGGTTCACATGCGATTCAGTGGCAGATGAGAGGACAATTATCTTTTCCCGATTACTGGCCTTTTGACAGGCTTTTCAAGTAAAAGCAAAGAGTCACAATCTTTTTGTGAATAGGAATTATGATTAATTGAAACTTTTAAAAAAAGTTTCATCCACACACTCACACATTTGGTTCAGTAACAAGCCATGGTACGTGAGCACTAAAAGACTGAAAGATATTTTCTTGGGATTATATATGCTCTTCTTCCTCCTTGTCCTACTGAACATGAATCACAGCATTTATTTATATATGAGCACAGTATAGTAATAAAAAGTTATTTTATTTCTTCAAACAAGATAAATAGTATATTCTATAGGTTAAAAATGTAAGGTCTGCTGTCTTATGATAGTCTCAAATTTAAAAAAAAAGGCCAAAATTATCACATATTTAATACATTTCAATCCTAGTTGTGCAAATCTGGGGGTTATCCAGGTTCGCTGCCCTTTGCTCACTGTCTCTCAAAAAGCGTTTAGGTCAGAGAGAGTATCAACCTTTTTATTCTGCCTTCTAATAAAAAGTTACACAGTGAAAGAAAATGTTATGTACACAGTGAAATTTGGTCAGAGGAACTTCTACTTTCTTCTTCTCTTCTACCTATATTGACATAGAGATTATACCAAACAATTAATGATCATATATATATATATATATCTACCTTTTTTTTTTTTTTTTTTTGAGACGGAGTCTCACTCTGTCACCCAGGCTGGAGTGCAGTGGTGTAATCTTGGCTCACTGCAACCTCCGCCTCCTGGATTCAAGCAATTCTCCTGTCTCAGCCTCCTGAGTAGCTGGGACTACTGGCACATGCTACCACGCCTGGCTAATTTTTGTATTTTTAGTAGAGACGGGTTTCACCATGTTGGTCAGGCTGGTCTCGAGCTCCTGATCTCAGCTGATCCACCCACCTCTGCCTCCCAAAGTGCTGGGACTACAGGTGTGAGCCACAGTGCCCAGCCTAATGATCATAAATTTAAGCTAAACATTTTGCATTTATGTCAGCTTCCCCCTACTTAGAAGTACTGAAATATCTAAATCAGGAAAATAATAATAAACCTCTTTAATTTTATTCAATCTAAAATATAAGTTTTAATAAGGAAATTAAAGGAAAAAACATAATTATATAGATAACTTCTGGGTAGGAGTTATTTTTTAATATGTAACAATTTGTACAATAAAACTATACAAAACTATATATGGTCTCTAAATAAACTAAAATACCATATATTTTATAATATAAATAGCTAATACATATAACAAGTGCTATTTAATGAGTGATATAATTACGATAAATTCATCCTAAAATTTGAATTGTTAATTTTTAGATATTACCAATGTGATTTGCCATTTTGATACAGTTGTTAATAAATGATGCTCATAACTCAACCATGATTTGACATGGAGAGCCACATTAAACTATTCTAGTGACTTCCCCATCACATGGATATTCTGCTATTATTTATATTGCTGAATCCTCTCTCAGAAAAACAATTACATTTTTTTTCTAACTCATATAACACTGTCTGATATTTTAAAATATTCAATATCTCTAGTCTTGAGCAAGGAATGAAAATCATTTATTGGAATGACATTTTTAATTAGACCAAACCTAATCTTTTATGCCAAGAGGTAGCAAATAATAGTCAATCGTAGACTGTTCCTGGGCTATGTAGATTTGAATCCTAGCTCTGCTACTGAGTCTTATATAATTTCTCTCAGAGCCTCAATATCCTGGGGACAGGAACAAGATAACAATTCTATAACTCAGTGAGTTAATATAAATTTAGAACAGTGTTTAGAATGGAACAAATGCTATATAAGAATCAGCACTCATTTTTATTCATAATGACCACAAGGGTTCAGCATTTGGTATATTTTAAAAAACTCATCCCAGTAAATGGAAGAAATATTCAACAGAGTTGGTCAAGGGAGAAATCACGTTATAGGTATTCCCCAACCCCATATTTCTTTCACAGGCCCTGTGTGTCCCATGCGGCATCCCTTTTGTTCCAGAAGTACCTACCATTTTGATGGAGCTCAAAATACCCAACTGATGTCTGTCTGCTTTCCCCATCTCTCTCAAAGCCTAAGTCTTATGAAAACTACAATTCCTGCAAGGCACTCAAGAATGACTTCAATGGCAGACAGACACAGACTTGAGGCACCAGAAAGGTAGCAGATATTTACACCCAAGGAGCCAAGGCTGCTACAGGGTGAATTCCAAAGTGGACCTCTAGCAAATTCCAACAGGGCTTATCTGGTGTAGGCAGAACACAGGGTACAAACTGATCCGCTGAAGTTCCTAAAGATTCAGTCGTGGTGCCTGGAAGGCAAGATTGGTACGGGAGAGAGGATGGGGGGATGGGCAGGGAGGAAGATTGAAATGAGCAACCAAGCAATTAAAAAGGATGTTGTCCCTCTTATTGGGATGGGCAGCGTCCTGGAAGCCCTCACTGTATCAGTCATTAACCCTCTTTTACTGGATCATAGCAAAGTCAGAAGTTTCTGAAGACATGCTGTGACAGCTGGGGAGCACTCAGGGAACTCAAGGCAAAGTTTTAGCAACAAGCACAGAAGTATTTCAACCTTTTTTTGTTTTTTAATTTAAGAGATTAGGTGTCATTATGTTGCCCAAGCTGGTCTCAAATTCCTGGCCCAAAGCAATCCTCCTACCTCAGCTTCCCAAATAACAAATAGCTGGGATTACAGGTGCAAACCACCATGCCTGGCTCAAAATCAATTTTTAATAATCAATAGAGTTGTGTTCGTACACATATGTGACTATCAGCCCTGGTGTGGAGGATCAAAGGAATGAGGCTAAGGTCCAGCTTTGTCTTGGACCTGTCATACATGAGTTTTACAACTGTGTGGTTGTAAACTGCTGGCTCCAAGTATAACTTATCAAATTACAGGGATACATAACCAGAAACTCAGTACCAGAAGAAGAAAAAGTTGGAGAACCCCCAAACTTGCAGTAAATTAGTAATTAGTAACATAACTTTGTATAATAACTGTATATGTTATAGTCACGTACCAAATTGTAGAAGGAAAAAAAATTCCTCAAGCCATTTCATTATTTCTGGAATGTCAAAGAATCCAAATCTGTCCTTACAATTTTACTCACCTGCCACTTTTTCATCTGTTTCCCTGTTACCATCATCTGAATATCTTGCAAAGTCTAAAGAATCAAGGGTACTAATGCTCCCAGCTCGATCTATAATAAAGAGAAATATAAAAAAATTAAATGTGCATTTTAATTTAATTGTTAAAATAAGGAACAGGAATTCAAATACTTATAATTATTTCTAGTTAATAAACCAGTAATTCTAAGATCTAGGAGTTCTTTTAAAACAACAACAACAAAACAAAGTAAAAATGCTAACAGCAATCAACTTTAAAAAAACCAAGTTTCCCTGCCCAAATCTCTGGCCAACTCCCCAACAATGCACACACAGGCAATATTGCAAGCAGCCCAGCTAAGGACAAAACAAACAAACAAAACAGAAATTTGAGCTGCCACATAAGAGTTTACAGTTTGAACAAGTGCCTACTGAAAGAACAGAATCCAGTCTTCATAGCCTAACACACACATCATCCATCGCACAGTCAAAAATTACTTGATACACAAAAACCAGTAAAATGTGATCCACTCCAAGAAATAAAACAATCAACAGGGACCAACTCCTAGATGATACCAGGAGATAATGGTAAAATCAGTAGACTAACGTTTTATAATAGCTAGTATAACTATGCCATGTGAAGTAAAGGAATATATGTATACAATAAATGAAAGCAGTTAATATCTTAGCAAAAACTATGGAATGTAAAAAATGCTAATAGAAATTCTAGAACTGAAATACAAACATCTGAAATTAAAAATGCCTTGTATAGCCTAATCACAGAATGGAGATGAGAGAGGAAAGGGTCAGAAATCTCAAAGATGGATTAATGGAAAGTATTCAATCTGCAGAATACAGACAAAAAAGATTGAAAAGAAAATTGACAGGGACAAGTGGAACAATAACAAAGGTCTAACATATGCAGAATTGGAGTCCACAACCAATGAGGCAAGAGATGGGACAGGTACAGGTCCAAGGTCAGAGAACATCATGGAGGATAAATAAAGAGAAGAGAAACTTAGGCACCTATTAATCAAATTGCAAAAAACCAAAAATTTAGAAAAATATTAAAAGCGGACAGAGAAAAACAATGTTCTCATAGAGGGAAACAATGATTTGAATGACTGCTTATTCCTCATAAAAAACCATGAAACCAAAAACATCCAGTTTGGAAAAGAACAAGCAAAACTATTACTATTCACAGATGACATGATGTTATATCTAAGAAACTCTCAGGAATCCACTAAAAAACAATTAGACCTAACAAATGAGTTTTTCAAAGTTTCAGAACATGGGACCAATGCACAAAAATCAGTCAGATTTTTATACATTAGCAATGACAATCCAAAATTAAAACGAAGACAAGTTTCATTTCCAAACACATCAAAAAAAACTTAAGGATACATTTAACAAAAACATGCAAAACTTACACAGTAAAAACTACAAAACACTATCCAAAGAAATTAAAGATGATCTAAATCAACAGAAAGACAGACCAGGCTTACAGATCAGAAGATCCATATCAGGATAGCAATATTCCACAATTAATCTTAGGATTCAATGCAATTCCTATCAAAATTCCAGCTGGCTTTCTTTTTTTTTTTCTTTGCAGAAATTGAGAACTTGATGCTAAAACTCACATGGAAACAAAAAAGTCTCAGAATAGCCGAACAATCTTGAAAAGGAATAAAGATGGAGGACAGATGCTTCCTGATTTCAAACTTAAGAGTAATCAAGGCAGTACAGTTCTGGCACACAGATATAGAACAATGCAATAGAATTGAGAGTCCAGAAATAAGCCCTTACATTTATGGTCAAGTGGTTTTTGACAATAGTACCAAGACACTTCACTGGAGAAAAGAAGTTTTTTCAACAAATTGTGTTGGGACAACCATATATCTACATGTAAAAACAAGGAAACTGGACCACTACTTCACATCACAAGCGAAAATGGATCATAGATCCAACGTAACAGTGAAAACCGCAAAACTTTTATTAGGAAATGCAGAAGCAAATCATCATGGCCTTGGGTTAGGCAATAATTTCTTAGACATAACACAAAGCATAAGCAATGTGGTAAGCAGAAAAATGGCTCCTCCCAGATGTCCACATTCTAATCCTTAGAATGTGTGACTATGTTACTTTACATGGCAAAGTTGAAGTGAGGTTGCAGATGTTATTAAGATTGCTTATCAGCTGACCTTAAACTAGAGACATTATCCTGGGTTATTCAGATGGACCTAATGTAATCACAAAGATCTTTAAAAGTGGAGGAGGGCCATGAGCCAAGGAATTCTGGCATCCTCCAGGACCTGGAAAAGGCTTTCCCTAGAGCCTAAAATCTCCAGAACTGCCAATACCTTGATTTTAGACCATTCTGCTCAACGTAAGACCCACTGTGAGATTTATACTATGCTGCCATAAAAAAGAACAAGATCATGTCTTCTGTGGGAACAGCTGGAGGCCATTATCCTTAGCAAACTAACGTAGGAACAGAAAACCAAATACCACATGTTCTCATTTATAAGTGGGAGCTAAATGAAGAGAACACATGGACACAAAGAAGGGAACAACAGACACTGGGGCCAACTTGAAGGTAGAGGGTGGAAGGAGGGAGAGGAGCAGAAAAAATAACTACTGGATACTAGGCTTAGTACCTGAGTGACAAATTAATCTGTACAACAAATCCCCGTGACACGACTTTACCTGTATAACAAACCTGCGCATGTACCCTCGAAACTAAAATAAAAATTAGAAAAAAAAAAAAAAGAACCATGAGGTAATAAATTTGTGTTCTTTTGAGCTGTAACGTTTTTGTCAACTTTTTAAAGTAGCCATAGGAAACTAATTAAAGGAATGAATTGATAAACTAGATTTCATCAGAATCATTTATTTATTTTTTTTGCTTTAAAAGTCACCATGAAGAAAGTGAAAACACAATCTACACAATGGAAGAAATATGTGCAAATCAAGTATCTGTTAAGGGCCATATCTACACGATATAAAGAATTCTTATAACTCAACTAAAAAGACAGCACAATTTAAAAATGGACAAAGGGTTCTCCAAAGAAGATGTAGAAATGGCCAATGAATGAAGGAGAGATGCTCAAAAGGGAAATGATATTCATTAGGGAAATGAAAATTAAACCACAATGAGGTACATTTCAAATCAACTAGATGGTTATAATAAAAGAGACGGTAAGTTGCAGAAGATGTGGAGAAATTGAAACCCTCATACATCACTCATCTTACTGTAAAGTGGTACAGCTGCTTTGGAAGTTTGGCAGTTCCTCCTTGAAAACATTACACTAAATAAAACAAGCCAGACACATAAGGCTACATGGCTATATACTGTATGATCATTCATATAAAATGTCCAAAGTTGGCAAATCCATAGAAACACAAAGTTGATTTTAGCTGGCATCATAGGAGAATGGGTAGTGACTGCTAATAGGTATAGGGTTTTTTGGGGGGTGATAAAAATGTTCTGGAATTAGAGTAGTGATAGTTGTACAGTTTTGTAAATGCACAGAGAACCACCAAATTGTACACTTTAAAACGGAGAATTGATGGTATATGAATTATTTTTCACTTTAATAAAAAGACAAGACAATAGTGTTGGTGATAACGTGGAGAAATTGGAATCCTTATATCTACCTGGTGGGAATGGTATGGACATTTTGGAAAACAGTTTAGCAGTTTCTTAAAAGGCTACAGAGTTATCTATCATAGGACAGTAATTCTACTTCCACCTAAAGAGAAAGGACAATATATGTCCACACAAAATCTTGTACATAATTATTCATAGCAGCATTATTCACAATGGCAAACAAAGTGGAAACAACTACATATCTGTCCATTGATAAATGAAGAAATAAAATGTGTTATATATCCGTACAATAGAATGTTATTCAGCAATAAAAAGGATGGAACTATTGAAACATGCTACAACAATGGATGAACTCTGAAAACATTACGCTGACAGAAGACAGTTACAAAAGAACCACATATTGTATGATTTCTATCTATATAAATTGCACAGAATAGGCAAATATATAGTGATAGAAAGTCTATCTCTATAGACACAGAGATTAGTGATTGGAGGTTGAAGGGAAAAATGGAGTGTATGCCAATGGATAAGAGATTTGTTTCGGGGATTATGAACAGGCTGCAAAAGTAAATTAGGTGATGGTTGTACAATTCTGTAAATATACTAAAAATGAATGGAAATATACTAAAAACCAATGAATTGTACACTTTAAATGAGGCTGAAGTGGGAGGATCACTTGAACCCATGAGTTCAAGACCAGCCTGGTGGGCAACATAGCAAGACCCTGTCTCTACAAAAAAGTAAAGGCAGAAGGAAAGAACAAACAAGTGTATTGAGTTTTCAAAGTGTGGACAAGTTGTGTATGAATAGCATTTACAATGTACAGAAGCTGCAGAGCTGGGGAGTGATTGGGGGGAGGTGGCAGGCAAGTCATGACAGCTGAGGCTAGGTAGGTTGTAAAGTAGTAGGAAAGACATTTTAACAGCTTCTCTATTAAATTTTACACACAGAGAACTTTTTTTTTTTTAATCCAGCTAATGCTTAAAAAGGGACAAATAAGAGGCTATTGTTAACCCTTTGTTAAATCATGTTACTTGCACAGTACTTAAAGTATACATATTGATCTAAGGGAATGGATTATTTGTGTTTAGAAAGCACAATCTCGACAAATGAATGGAAGTTATAGGAATACAGATTTGGACTCCCCCTTGGGCTCTCCCGTCACCTTTTAAAACAGTACATCACAATAATCAAGATGGTTGAATCTTGAAATAGGGCTATGTCATTATCATTATCAATGTACCACTTCCCTTTAAATCCCTATTAAGAGGACTAAACGAAATTCTACATATGTCGTTCTTCTTAAACACTGTTTCTGTCTGGAGAAACATTTAATTTCCATGCAGTTTAATTATACATGATAAGTAATAGCTTGCAGGCTGTCCTTTACCAGTCTGGCCAACATGGTGAAACCCCATCTCTACTAAAAACACAAAAACTAGCCGGATATGGTAGCAGGTACCTACAATCCCAGTTACTCTGGAG